CACGCCCTCGACGACGCCAACCGAGTCGGTGCTTACGGCTGGCATCAACGCACTGCACGCGGCCCTGGTGCGCTTTGACGTCCTGTCCGTCCAGCCAACCAGCGTGGCCATGACGCCAGTCGACCGCCATGGTGCGACGCTAGGCCCACCAACGTCGGCGACTGACCGTGCGCCATAGGAAAGCTGCACGTCGTGCGGTACCTCCATCCGACGGCCAAAAAAGACAGTGACAACGACGACGACGACGACGGTGATAAGGACCCGGACGACGTGCCGATGGAGCTCAAGGAGCTCGCGGCCGCCGACGCCATCCAAGCACTGCTCAAGACACACTTGCCGTTCCGGTTGCGCCACCTGCTTGCGCTGCCGTCACTGGTGGGAACTCGGAGCCACGACCAAGTGCTCGACTTGTGCATTGCTCTCGCGATGCACTCGCGCCGGTACACGCAGACCTTGGGCTCCAAGCTGTAGCAGACTCCCTTTTTAGCGCTGCAACGCACCTCTTGGAGGTCAAGGGCATGACCAGCGTTCTCCTCGAGCTCCTGAGCCACGAAGGCATCGACGATGTCCTCGCGACACTGCCGGTACGATCCCTCCATTCTTGATGCGGTGATGCGCACGACCGTGGGGATAGATGCGACGCAAGACGATAGTCCTCCTTCGGCGCTTGTGCCAAGCTGACGCGGCACTGGCTGCCATGTGTCTCCAGGACCAGCTGCTCACGGCCACCAAGGTCGTGCTCGCCATCCGCCACCCGGGCCTGCTCCCTCTGCAGGTAATCCAACTGCCTCCATGTCGTCGTGGCATATAAGTTGGAGCGCGTTGATAGCTGGACGCGCTCCGGCTCTGGAGCGTCTGCCTCTCGTACGGTATCGATCTGCACAGCGTCGCGTACTTGTACCCGCTGCTGTGTGGGTACCCGGCCGCGGCGCTCGCTTCGGACGGCGCCGCGCTCTCGCCGTGGCCGATCGAGATGCAGTGCGCGATTCTCGACGCGCTCACACTGCTCGTGCGCAACGGGGTCGAGGCCGCGCAGTACTACCGGCTGCTGCCGTTTTTTGTGCAGCAGGCCACCGATCTTCTGGCGCAGCATGCGGCGCAGGTCTCGTCGCCCATGGTAGCTGCCGCCGTCCGATTCCTGGCTGCCGCGTGGCCTATCGTGCAGTTCAACACGACGATCCTCGATGTCGACCCGTACGTCCGGGTAACGCCCGTGCTCTCAACGCTCTACGACTCTGTGCTGGCGTCGTCGACAGGTCTCGAGGTACACGTATTATATGGTCCAGGGTGCATGTCTGACGTGCTAAGTAGTGGCTGCCGGACCTCTTGGCGTACTTTAGGGCGCTGGCCGCCGCGCCGGCCAAGCAGCTTCCACCAGGTATCCTCGCATCATCCTGGTGATGCACCTGCCATGATGTGTTGCGTTTAGTGTCGTTGGCGGTGCTGGCCAGTGCGATGGAGCCTGCCTTCCTGACCCAATTGGCGCCGCACCGGTCCATCGGTGTCGCATGCGCTCTCTTCTACACGACGCACGGGCCAAGCGATGCGGCGGTAGCGCTCTGGCCACTCTGCTTGGAATGGCTCGCGACCTGCAAGCCCGGCGACGAAGCCGATGTCCGCAGCATGGTGCGCATCCTCTTTGAGAAGCCGTGCCCGGCCTTGTGCGCGCTGTTTACTGCCATGGCCGGCGCGAGCCCGAGTCCCAAGGAAACGTGCCACGTCGTCCAGCCGGAAGATGCGCCGTCGACGCTGCCGTGGCCGACCTACTGGCTCTTTAGCCTCTTCTCGCGCATCGCGTCCAGCGACATGAGCGCGACCGCGTGGCAGACGCTTCTCACCGAAGCGAGTTCGCTGCTCCTGCAGCTCGAAACGAGGTGATGACTTTCTTTGCATCGTGAACGTGGATTGCTCACAGGAGGATAGCTCGCCGGCGCTGCTCGCCTCGACACCAACGGCGCACAAGCTGGTGCATCTCAGTCACGTGTACCTTCTCGAGACGGATGCTTGGCTGTCGCCGGCGGTCGCGACGCCGCTCCAGGCCCTTGTGGCGCACTACGTCGACGCGGTGGTGGCCGAGGAATGGCACGAGGCGCTGAGCCACGTCGTGCAGTGCTACAAGCCGTGCGAGCTTGGGAAGGAACCCGCGCTGGTTCAGTCGTTTGTCGAGTCGCTGCTTCAAGTCTTTTGCGGAGCGTCGTACGGCGACGTGGGCCTCAGCGCGATCGTAACGCTCTGCTTGCACCCGTCGCTGCCGCAAGAGCTCCGCCTCTGGCTATGGTCAGAGCTTAGCACGAACGGCGGCCTTGCGCTGGTCACGGTGCGTCGACAGCCAAGAAAGAAAGCTCTCTGAACGTTCTGTGTAGGTACCGACGGCACTGATGTCGTCGCTGCTAGCGACGACCGACAGCAAGATGCTCGATGCGTATGTGGCGAGCGTCGCCTCGGAGACCATCACGGCGACCCGCGGCAAGGACCTGTATGCCGTGGCCATCCACCACCTTGCTCGCTATTGCTTGGGTGCGTCGGAGCTTGCGGCCTCGCAGCGCCAACAGCAGGTCTGGCTGCGTCTGCTCCAGTCGCCCTCCAAGGTATGTACTTTAGTAAACTTGTCTCACTTAAATCCACTGACCGGCTGTTGTTCCAGGCGCTGGTCAAGGATGTGGTTGGTCATGCGGAGGCCAAAGACGCGCGCGTCAAGGTACAGTGGTGTATCCAGCAGCCTTCGTTTGCGTTGGTGCAAACAACCCTCCAGTCGCTGCTGTAGAACAGGCAAGTTAGCGATTTCTAAACAGCAGAATGATGATCATGAATGCGTGTCATGCCTCGAGCAGAATGCTTGTTGGAGCAGTGGCCACAACCACGTCACTTTGCATTTACCATCGATGGACTCAACCAAGGGACAAGAAAGTCGCCAAGCGCTGGACGAGTTGATCCTAGACAACCAAAAGACGTCGACGCGCTACCGCCGATCGGACAACCCAGAACCGACACCGACACCGACACCGACGCCGACACCGACACCGACGCCAGCGCGACGACCCACGCGGCGCTCGGCCATGACGCCACCGCATTATTGAGTTCCCCAACTCGCGCTAGAGTATGCATCGACAGTACGACTATTAACTAGCAACGTCTTAAATGTTCCACGCCCGATTCCAGTACTAGTACTGCTAAACTCCTTTTTTCGAGTTGGATTAATGACGCGGCTGCATTCGATGAGCACTCGACTGACAGTACATGGCACTAATGCCGACGCGGCCACTCGTGCTGTACTAGAGTGAAGGTATTGCGATATTGATTGCAGCACAGTGCCTTCACTCGTGCTGTTCTAGAAGCCAGGGTAGACTCGGTTACTCGGGGTCTTGGACAAAGCTATGGTCGAGTGAGTGAAGTCGCGCCCCTCTTGCGGCCTTTGTTCCTCCCAATTGATACCACGAAGAACTTGGTCGTCGTCCGTGTCTTTAGAACTGCTTCTGCTGAGAAAGCATCATCGAGGCTATATTACACCCCATTGACAACACAATCAATCTAACTTGGCGACGACAGATGTGTCCGACATGACGTGGCAGGTCCACAACTTGATACTCTATCATCACATTGACTGTATCTATGTGTTGTTACAGGTATTTTAATGCTTGCTATCTATTGCTTTTTATCGCACCATCATCCTGGACTGTAAACGATCCGTTTACCTCAAGGGGGCTTGTATTCGGTACGCTTCGATTCGTGTGGCGACGATGGCATTCTTCCATCAACATGAGAGCAACACCGTACGAGCTCCACGTGCTCGCTACGCCAGCGTCGACCGCCCGTCCGAGTGTGCTTACGCCCAACGACATTTCGACAACTCCAAACGACGACGACGACGAGAACAAGCTACCGCCAACACCGTCGCTCGGGCTCATTCTGGTCGCCAATTTTCTCTTCAACGTTTCGTTCTACATCATTGTGCCCACGGCCACATTGTACGCGCGGAGCCTCGGGGCCACGGACCTCTACTCGGGCCTCGTGATTGGCGGCATCACACTTACCTCGGCGCTGTCGCTCGTGCCACTTCAGCATGTGCACTGCTTTCGCGACTACTACATGCCGACGCTTCACCTCGCTGCAAGTACGCTTGTGCTCGGTCACCTCTTGTACGCACTCGCGCATACGCTCGACTCGCTCGGGCTCCTGCTCGTCGGCCGGCTCGTCAACGGCCTTGGCTTCACGGGCTGGCTCTTTGTGAAGCGCTACTGTACCGACCCGCGACTCGTGGGCTACCGTCGCCGCACCATGTGTGCCAACCTCCTCGTGGCAGCGCAGACGCTTGGTATGGTCGGTGGGCCCTTGCTGGGCGCTCTCCTGGCAAAGTACGCGCCGGCGACCGGCCTGTGGAACGCTTTTACAGCGCCCGGGTGGCTCATGGCGTTTGTCTGGCTCGTCTATTGGCTCGTCGCTCGCATCGTTTTTGTCGCGCGCCGCCGCGCACGCCAGGCGACGTGCACGACATTGCACAGGCCAAACTATCGCATTTGGACCGTCGCCGCCGGTGGACCGTTCTGGCCATGGCGCTCGGGTCGCCGACCATTTTTTTCGAGCTCGGCGCGTGGGAGTCGAACATTCCGGTTTTCATTGACGCTGCGTGGGCGTGGACGAGCTTTGATGCGGGCGTCTTGATTGCGATTGGTGGATTTGCGAGCTTTGGACTGATTTTACCGCTTTCGTTTTACACGAAGAGGTGTCCCGACCGCCTCGTGCTCGCGGCTGCGTTTGGGCTTGCGCTCGCCGGTACGCTCGTGCACCAATGTACGCTGGTGCACCCGACACCGGGAACTCTCGGCCTCAGCTGGTTCCTCGTTTGCTGGGGCATGAACCTTGGGTCCACGATCACACTCTCGCTTTTGACCAAAACTCTGCCCGATGCGCTCTCGGACAAGGCCGCGATCGTCATTCAGCTTTCCAACTACTCGGGTCGACTCACGGGCGCCATGTGGGGCACCGCGGGCAGCGTCGTCGGCGGCGACTACGTCGTTGGGCTTGGGAACCTGGGCCTTTTGTTCGTGAGCACGGCGCTCTTGGTGCGCGTATGGCGCTCCCTGGACGCCCCCACGGGCTAAACCCCAGCATTTTTTCTGTTCAATACAACTGTTGAATACATGTACTTTGTGCCAAGCATTAAGGTTGAAGTGGCGTCGCTCGCGAGTGCGCAGTGCCTGACCTCCATGTACAAGCGATATTATCGGCCCAAACAGTTTTGAGGTGAGAAGCTGATTGGGCTGCGGGAGCATGACAGACAACGCGTGAGTACTGTAAAGACGATGTGCGACAACTAGAACCAAAGAACTAAAGGCAACCAAGAGACTAATCAACTACAGCACCGGTAGTCTGGCCGGTTTGACCAGCCGGTTATATTTGGGCGTCAGCGGGCTCGGCTTACGACCGCTAGAAAGGTCCGCAGGTCTGAGTTGGTTTTAGGGGTGGCGAAAAACCCCGTAACCTCCAACAACCCACATCAAATGATGATGCAGTGAGTGTCGAGGTGGAATATGGATCACACGAAGAAGCTTTCATCTTAACTCAAACCAACAACCGATAGCGTCACAATGACACCTGAATGTCCACTTTGCAGCTATTCTAGTCAAGGACTCCATAACGGCGCATGACGTTTCGACTCGCATCATAATAGCACATGTCTAGGGCTCCTGCTCATCTCAAGCCGGTCCTTTATCGCTGTCTTCTTGTTGTTCTCGCCTTGCAGTGGCGTCTGCCTGATCAGATACGTAGTTTGTGCCAAGCAAGCTTATCAATCCGTATGGTTGCGCTCGATCCAAGTACAGCCATATTCAAAGCGGAATAAACTCCATGTGATACTACCACTGCGGGTAAACATGGCTGCGGCCCATGTTGGCACAGTGGGCGTTGCACACGTCCGACGCGACTTCATCCATGTCAGTCCACGCTCTCTGGGTGCTCGCCAGTCCGAGCTGCTTGGATGCACGAATATGTGTCGACCGACGTGGTCGCACAACAACGGGCGTTGCAGGCACACTCGAGCGAAGTGGCACAATGCCCATCTTCCAAAGGACCTTCGCAATAGTGCAATACAGAGAACGTATAATCCAAAACCGAGTCTAGCTATCGTAGCATGCCCATAAACTTTTAGGACCTCGTCTCATCCCGTGAAGACAGCGCGTAGCAGTCGTGGTATGATCACGGGCACGGCGGAATCGACCTGGACTGTAACCCTGGCGCCACGCGGGTGGCGTGGACGGTGAGTCCATTAAGATGGTTGCACTCGTCGGTCGTCATGGGTCTCGTTTGCGGTTGCCATCATGCAAGATTATCAGCTTTGGTCTACGTTGATGCATTGCAGGTGCAGAGAGCGGGACCGGAAGCGGATGCCACTTGCAGCTGCCTCGTACGAAGCTTACGTGCACCACCAAAGGGTACTTTCGACCGCCGTGCACTTGCTGAAATGCGTCCAATGGATTGCCCAGCGTACTCGTCTCAAGCTCTAGTCTCGTGGTTGATTTGCCGCGCCACAGCATCGAGGGTGCAACTCGTCGTTACGACGAGATGCATCGTGTGCTGCACTTTCAATAGGATCTTAGTGTCGTAGTGGATGGTCGCTGTCGCCGTAGCGTGTGCATCATGTGATGTAATGTATATCGAGACGCATATGGGTGACTGACGGGTTGCACACATTACGACGAGCATCCAACGGGCTTTCTCACCTACGCACGCAGATGCTTCGTGATCGGCGCTATTGTATTAACGTTACCTTCCGATGTCCTAGAACGCTCGTCGTACTTGGTCCAACCAAGGAAATAAATACACCTTTTCTCTACTTCCTTGGTTCAACAAACCGCCGTCTTGGGTCTTGAGGTCACGACACGTCTCGCGGTCGAATATAAAAATCCCACGTTGTGCACAAGTCGTCATTACGAAATCCATGTTGTCGTAGTACACGGTACGAGTGTCCAGTTGCTACATAACGGGCACGCAAGGGAATGCACGGCTGCGTGGATTCAAAAACCCATCAAATAAAATAAATAAATCCACTCACGGTGGTTAACTGGCTCAGCGGTGTTTGTGGGGTCAGTGCACCTACAGTCTCTTTTCAGGAGGCGTACGAGCCACGCCTTCGCGCTGAAGACCAGTTATTGCTCATTATTGGTTATGACTAGGGTGCAAAACAGTATCGACGCGTTGCGATGTGTACCGAAACGTCCCAGACGCACCGCGCCTCTCAAATATGTGTTGCGACTGGACTGTCCGACCTCGAAAGCGGTATCCCCGCTGGTCAGCTTCAGAGATTGACCGACAACAGGCCACCGATACTATAATAGGGCAAATGGTATGATAATACGATCGGCACATCCTCGGTCGCTTCAACCTTTCCATGGCGAGCGGCGATCATGGCTGCCGTGGCACCACTCGTGTGGGTTTCTACTCTGGCACCCCACCACCACCTGGCAGTCACACCAGCTGGCAGTGAGCGCGGCCAAACAGCAAACTCGGTCATTTCTTCAAGTGCGATCAAGGTGTCGAGATGCAACCGTGCTCCGTGGTCGGCTGCGACTGCCCCGCGCTCGACGACGCCTCAGGATGCTGCGCATCCCATCTTCCCAGCGACCAGTTTTTTGAACTTGGCGACATTGCCTTTGTCGCGGACACGGACGACGCGACGCTCGTGCCGCTCGATGGCGTGCTACAGGTGCCCGGCACCATCGTCTATGTCGCGCCGACGCAGTTCTAACGTCAACCTACTACGTTCCTCGAGTAGTACGTTCTGCCAAGCCGCGCAGTTGCCCGCAGCCCTCTCTGTCGTCGTCGTCGTCGTCCCCACCCTTTGTGCTCCCCAGACCCCGCCACCTGTAATAAGAAAAATCTAGGACCCTATACACTCGTATACTAGATGAGTTTCGAGACCAACGGCGAGTCGGCGTCGTCTGTCTGGTCGGCGCCAACGCGCGCGGCGCCATGGAGACGCGCCTGGCTACACACTATATCCGTCAACTGGTCGGCGTTCCATAGTATTTTCTGTCGTCACCGCTGGTACGACACGGTGGGCATGCAGCGCCAGCGCTGGACGCATGCAAGCGCGACGCTCGTGGGGCGTCAGATTGTTGATGTACACGCACGCGCGTCGTCGTGTGGCAACACGGTGGACCACACTATTTGCTGTCTTTCAAAAGACCATCATTCCGCGACCGGCGCTCGGCCGCCCACGCACAAGTACAAACCATGGCCGCCGTCCCTTCCATCGCCGCGATGGACCAAGGCTTCAAGGCCGCGCTCATCGGCGCCGCCCTCGCCGGTACGTCTTGGCCTATAGGTACGGTAGCCCACGCTGCTTGTAGTCAAGGGCTGCGCGCTGGCTGCGGGTTTGCCCGAGCTCCGCGGGTCGTATCAACGGTACTTGACTTGGCACCTCGCGCAGGAAAGCACGTCGTGGCTCTAGGACGCTCTGGTGGCTCGCAGGTATCTCGGCGCTGCTTATTTTCATCGGCGCGACAATTGCGTGGCCGATCCAGCTCGTCCTCTGGCTCTTCCTGGGCCGCGCTTCGTACCTAGTAGTCTTGGTTGTCATCTATCTCAGAGTCGTCGTGTAGGCCGTACACGGCGCTGCTCGCAAGCGTGTTGAACAAGTGGGTCACGGGTGTGCCCTTCGTACTCATCGCCGCGTGCCGCTATGTCCACCCGACGTTGGTCGACAACCTCTTCTTTCTCGGGCTCGGGCAGGAGCACGCATCCCTCGTGCCCGTCCTTTCCTCGGTATGTACACTGTCCATGTTGTACGTGGCTGTACATGGACGTAGATCCCCGTATCTCTCTTTGACTGGGACTACCTCCGCGCGACGGCGACGTTCTTGGCGTACCGGTCGGCGCTGTTTCTCATCCTCGCATTGGGTTCGTTCTTGACGCCGCTCTTTGGCAGTCTCTTCGCGATCGCTGCATTTGGCTTCAAGTACGTACATGAATCATATCCATACGATCCATATCCTAGATGAACCGAGTGCCATGGACACGGAATATCGTAGGATCCGACGCACGGAAATGGTCATGTCGTCGCTCGTGTTTGGCTTGTACGTGGTGCCATGGACCCGTCCGATCGCGATCGAGCTTGCCAAAATTTGGTTTGACGCACGGTACATGGCGCGATGATGGTATCAAGATATGGATCCGCACTGTGGTTAGGGCGGTGACCAAGGAGCTCTTTTACCCCGTCTTTGCCCGCAAGACGAAGCTCGTCACCGAGCATGGTGCGCATGTCCACGCTGACCTGGCATGCTATGGATGTGTCTTGCGTCGTAGGCATTCCGTGCACGATCGCAGGCGACCAATCGGCGATGCTATTTGGCTTTTCGTACGTGCTCGGGTTCTTCGTGCAGGTGCCCGTCGTCGGCCCTTTCGTCTGGCTCCTCGCGTTCATCGCGGCCGGCATGGCCGCCCCCCGCATGTTTCAACTCAAGTCCAAGCTCTAGCCACAGAAATGCCCGCAGGTTTTTGGACGCTTTTTACCATCACAACAAAAGTTTGGTCCCCTCCTGCTGCTTTTTCTTGTCTTGCATCCGAAATATCACGATATCTTGGTAGTTGTAGAGATTGCTCGGTCGATACACGAGAATCAAAGCAACGATTTCATCAGCGTGCTCGGGTTAGGCCATGTCGTCGCTGGACGCAACGTCATCGCTCACAACCGCGCTCTTCGGGGATGATGCTGGAATGAACGAAGTCGGAATAGCATGTGGATGCACGAGCATCGCGCGGGACGGCCGAAGAAACGCTGGCGACAAGCCGTGAAGCAGTCGCTGGGTGGCTCGGGTGAGGTACGCACTGAGTTCGCGGTGGCTTTGCCAGACTTCCCACACAACCCCTAACACGCGAACATAAGCCCATGCGCGACGATTCAATCGGTTCCCACAGGTTAGCGCGCGGTAGACACTTGTCTGCACAAGGCGGGGCAAGCCCAGCGTCTCGTCGAGGTCTCGCGAGTTGAGAAGCGTCTCGCATCGATCATCATCCTCATCCTCGTCATCATCACCGTCGTCGTCGTCCTCGATGTTTTCTGCTTCGCTGCAACTCGAGTCGCTGTCGAATGGCGCGACGTCATCCACAATCTCAATGGCCTCAGTCGCGAGGGGGGGCGAGGGGGGCGGGGCCCACTGCATCACTCCTACACTAGAGCGTGGGCCACACGGCCAATGTTGCTCCTATTGTCAGCACACGCACCTGTCTCTGTGTTGACATAGTACGTGTAGCCTTGCTGGTTGGAGCGCGCTTCCCACGCCATCCTGGCTTCACCGTTGAGAGCAAAAATAGCCCGCCCGATGGACAGGAGCAAGACATGAAGAAATGAGTACAGCAAAGCGCCTCTTCAAGGCCCAGCCATTTCTATAGCATGTACTTTGCTCATCCACTCTTCGTAACATCATACTCGTATGCGTGGTCGTCGTCGTTGCTGCCGTGGATGCTGCTTGGCCGTGCTCAAGCTGTACGCGTACATGTCCCGAGTACATGATGGTCGTACATGTACTACGTTGGGGATATGCCGTCAACCAGGAGCCAATCCAAACGCCGAAAAGTCCACCAATGAGCGCGTGGCGGTTGCAACTCTGTTTTCGCCGATGCCCAAGAAGAAGGCCAAGAAGTCGAAGTCGGCGGCGGCGAGCGGCGAAGACGGCGCGCCGGAAGCGCATGTACGTCCGTCATCCTCGGTGCATGCGCCCTCATCCTCATGGGCTAGCCGGACGCCGAGTACGTTCCGCTGGCGATCCCCGAAGAGACGGTCGAGCTCGTGACACTCGACATGCGGGTAATGCTGCCCCTCATCGACGTCATATGCAAGCTCTCGCTCCCATGTAGCTGCTCAATTGGAGCTACCTCAACTTCAAGTGGAAGGTCAAGACGTCGACGCGGCTCTTTGCCGTCAAGGTCGGCATCGCATGCGCTTGCGATCTCGCTCATGCAGTCATGCTCTAGAACGAGATTGAGAAGCGCCATGGGCCCATCACGAACCTCAAGATCTGCAAGGACCACTTTGCCGAGGCGAACGAACTCACAGATGAGATGCTGACGCTGCACGAGTACGGCATTGACGGCGCGCCGGCGTTCGAGAAGGAAGTCGTAAGCTGCTCGAACCGTCAGCTCGTTCCTCATGCTGCACTAGGTGTGTTTCATCTACTACGACTTCAAGCCCACGCAGCACGACAACCCGCTCTTGCTTGCGACCGAGCAATACTGATGGACAAGATTGTCATACAAGAATAAATAGTCGATGAGAGGAGGGTTAAATAACTAGTACAAAACTAGGCCAGCTGGCTCACAAGGTGGCGCTGCTCGGCTTCCAGGTACGCCACGAGGCCAGTGTGGCCCTTCTGGTTGGCGTAAAAGATGGCTTGGGATGTATACCGCGTCGCTTCGGCGCGCTGCTTGTAGAGGTACTTGATGATCGGGAGGTGGCCGCGGCGGGCCGCGTCGCAGAGCATCTTGAGTGTGTTGCCTTCCGATGGGAACGTCTCAAGGAGGAGCTCGACGATGGCCACGTGGCCCTTCTCGATCGCGGCCGCCAACGCGCTGTCGCTGGCAATGTCGCTGCGGCGGTGGTCGCAAAAGAACCGAACCACGTCCAAGTGGCCTTGCAGCGCCGCGCTGTCGGCTGCCGAGTGGTCGCAGCCCTCATGGCGGTTCTCGTGGAGGAAGCGCACTATCTCGAGGTTGCCTTTCCGCGCCGCGCCGTTCATGGCTTCGACGCTGCAGCCTTCCGAGCGGTGCACATGGAGGAACTCGACGATCGCCATGTGGCCGCCCATGGCCGCATAGTCCATTGCGCGGTGGGTACAGCCCTCGGTCCGGTGGGCGTGCAGAAACTCGACGAGACCGAGCTTGCCGCTCTGCGCCGCGGCGTCCATGGTCGCGCAAGTAAAGAAGGTGGCCGTCTCGGTCGGCTCCTTGGAGTGGAGGTACTCGACGATCGCAGTGCAACCATACGAGGCCAGCAGCGTCACGAGCTCGGGCGTGAAGACGTAGCGCCGGTGGTGGTACAGGGTGCGAACGCGCGCGAGACCATGGTTGGGTACATCAAATGACCGCAATATGTACTTGGCCCGCGCCTGCTCGTCGGCGAGGCGCTTCCACTGCAGCACAATCTCGTGCAGCGTGGCCTCGACGCCATGCTGGTACTGCGTCACGAGGCGCACGAAGTGCGGGTCGCTGAGCACAGCGCCGACCGCCGACGGGTTGAAGAGGTCGATGACATCGATGGGCGAGCCCGGCGGCGTTCCTAGGATCGAGGCCGAGAGCGCCGAGCGCAGCGAGATCGCCGGCGACCCCGACGGCGTCCCGTCGAGCTTGGTCTGCTTGGCCGTCGTCGCCGTCGTCGCCGTCGAGACCTCGTCCTTGGCGCGTGGCATGTCGACCTGCGCCTCAATCTTGGACGGAGCGCAGCCCATGCTGGTGCAGAAGCCGGTGAATCTCGGAATGATGGACATGGCGATGGCCAGCGCGGGACTGCGACACGGCGGCGGCGCCACCTGTTTGTAATTCCGCGCGACCAAGCCGTTCGTAGAATTGGTTTCACGCATTTCCATACAAATAGTCCATTTCGATTAAAATATGGTATTATAATAGGCCGTGGGGCGGTTGGGCACGCCATGGCAGCGTGTAAAATCATTGTATTAAAACACAATTCTTTTACGGGGATCTTTCTATTTATATTGGTTTTTCTGGAAAGGTATACTAAATGCAAGACAATTGTGATCTCGGGGGCGGCGATGCGCATTTTATTTTCCCTCCGCGAGACAAAACAAATTTCGACAGGATGTTCGTATACGGGCGGCGGTAACGGTAAACATCTTGGCGTTTGTATGCTGGGACACGAGCGATGATGGGGCTTGATTTGGCCGGTTGACCTTGGCATCATCATCATCATCGTCGTCCTGTTCATGGCTGCTCCTGCCGACGTCGATGGCGCCCTCTCGGCAACCAACGTTCATGGGCCAAGCGTCGGAAACGCGCTTCGCGAAAAGAATTGCATTTTCAAAATCTTCACCTGCTTGTTGCTGCAGGAGAAGAGTGCACTGGCCCGACGCTCTTGATGTCACAGCCCGATTCCGTTAAGGGTGAGCACGACCATTGCCAAGGAGGCTTGGTTGCCACTGCATCGTCTCTCTCCCATGGCCAAACATTTTAAAGTCTTCAGATGGGATCACGTTGAAGTTCACGCAGTGTAGGTCTTCCGCAATCGAGATCCAGCGCCGACGTCGGACGGCCAAAATCGCGCCCGCCACAGGAGCTGACATATGCGATGGAAACAAAAGCCAGTGCAGGACCAAGTGCATTCACGCACCAGCTTTCCGTTGCACTGGAGAGCCATGCTGTAGAGCTGATCCGAGACTCCGTCCCGGTATGTATCTCGGTAGCCAGACTACAGTAGCTATTCATGGTATCCATCCATGGTATCCATCCATGGTATCCACCGAGTTGTTCTTTTCCAGAATCCAGAATTTTGTAATTGTTTCTGGAAGAACGACTTGATACTTTTGTGGCGCTTACGAGGTGCCACGTGGCCAAGTGGTCGTTCACGGCCTGGGTACTCGCCGAGTCCAACGGCGCGCTGCACACAGGACACGATGGCGAGCGGCCGTCGGCGGCGGTTGTGGCATCGGTCTTTCGGTCGTGAGGCAGGCTTCAATGTGCCTATTCATCCACGCAGGGCTCTGCGACTCAAACGACTGTCCGCAGATCGGACACGCCGTCAACGTCTCGCCGGGAGTTAATGGTTTGCTGCTGCTTGGTGAACTTGTGACGCAGGCCTCGACATGCGTCGCCAGCACATTAGACGCCGTCGGCTCGTTGCAGACAGGGCATCGGGACGACGTGAGAATCGGTGGGTCTGGAAAGAAGGACCTTTTCTTCTTTTCGTTGGTGGCGATGATGATGATGATGATGATGATGGCATGGGCACATCCACAGCGAACGAACGCGGGACATCCTTGGATGTGTCGCTGGAGCTGCGCGCGCGGCACGATGGACGCACATACGGGGCAGGTTGCCTCGGGCGGTGGCTTAAACAGCGTTTCCTCGAGCCGCAGCTGGCTCGTCGCGGCCACGTCGCAGCTCGCATCGCGCTCCTGCAGCTTGGAGATGCGAAGGCCCATGAGCCGGTAGCGCGGCGGTGGCTTGATGGTCTTTTGGTCGTGACGCACTTCGCGCTCGAGGAGCATGCACGCGAGGTCAAGCAAGGTCGGCTCGACGCTCATTTTGCTCGTAAACGCACGCGTCCGGACGTGGAAGGCCTCGGTCTTGAGCTTGAGCGTCACGCAGAGCCCCGTCACGCGCTCCTACTTCATTTTTGACGCATTCCTTTCAAACACATGCCTCAATGCACGCTTAGAAGGTCGGCTTTGACGTGCTGCACAATGTCCTTGCAAATGCTCTTGAGCGCCGGCAACGACGCGGTGGCGGTAAACGTCGACTCGCGACTAGGGTTAGGTTGTCTATCACCGAGCTCGCTTGGAAGGCAAGTGGTACCTGACGCTCTTGCGCTCGTCGCCGCCCGCGCCTTCGTAGACCCCCATGGAAATCTCGAGGAGCCAGCGCGCTGTGGTCTCGGAGTGAATGTGAAACACGTCGTAGCGCGCGTTGAAGAGGTCGAGGCCCGTGTGAATGCCTAGCGCGGCAAGCTCCTTCTCCCGCACCTGTCGACCGCCATCGGAACCAGTTCGATATCCAAAAGCCTGACGTACCTTGCCAATGCCACCGAGCTTGCGGATCGGGAGGTTCTCAATGAATTTCACCAGCGCGTCGCGCGTGAACTGTCCGTTAGGCTTGTTGATGTCCGAGCAGACCTAGCACGAATGACGTTATTTCTCGCTTCAAGGCCCACTACCTTGGCCAGCTTGGCGTTGGTGGCAATACCGGCGCTCGCAGTGAGCTTGGTCGTCTCCAAAATGCGCTGACGCATCTCGGCCGTGACAGCCGCAGCCGCTGCCTCCATGCTTGCCGTGTCCACAGCACCTACAGGTTGTCAGTCACATTGCGCCCACTGATACGGTCGTCGTACCGCGGGCCAAACACACGTCGGTGATGTCCAAGTAGGCTTCGTCCATGCTCGCGGCTGCAAACTGCGGGTCGTACTCTGCAAAGATGCGCCGAGTGACCTCCGCGACCGCCGCGTACTTGGCCATATCCGGTGGTACAAAGACAAGCTCCGGGCAGAGTTTCTTGCCAATAAAGCCTGGCATCGCGGCGCGGACGCCAAACTTGCGCGCCTCGTAGTTGGCCGTGCTGATCATGCCCATGCCCCCGACCGCCATCGGGACGTGCGCGAGCTCGGGCCGATCGCGCATCTCGACGGCCGCGAAGAACATATCCATGTCGACGACAACGTGGACGCGGCTGAGGCACCGCTTGGCCTCGAGGTCGGCGACGAGTGCGTCGACGGTCTCGTGGAGGTCGTGTCGGCGCTTGCTTTCGAGGCGACGACGGAGCTCGGCGATGCGCGCGTCGGTCTTGGCGTCTTTCTCGAGCGAGTTTTTGAAAAAGGCCGAGTCCTTGGAGAGCTCGTAGATGGTCTCGTTGACCTTGGAGCGGTCGACGCCGTCCATGCCGGCCTTGTTGTTGGCGAACACGAAGAGATGGTCGGCCATGCGCGGGACGTTGGGAAATGGAGCCAAGTGCACTTTCGCGCAGTGCGCAGGAAACGTTTTGATTGGCTGAAATCATTGTCAGGCGACACTTGGATTGGTCCGTGACGGCATGGGCGTTTGAATTGGGCGCCACGGTCGCGATCTTGCGCGTGGCGGGAAGACCGCGCGTGCCACTCAATTCGACGCCAAGGACATTATTGGCACACTAGTTTATAGGAAATAAAGACAAGTTTATTTGCTCGCTAGGCCTAACCTCCGAATTGTGCAGTTATGTCCTCACGCACCCAGCTATCAACGATGTGCCATGCACGAGCTACAGTGGAGAGTTGCATTCACAAGCGACCAAGTGCCACTGAAAGACAGCTCTGTGGCGCAAGGGTGATGAAAAAGCTGTCTATTAGGTCGTCTCCATTAGCTTCGGTGGTGGATCTTGGGAAGTATTGTCAACGCGCTGGACGATTGGTTGGGCCGGTGTGGTTTTTTGTGACCTGGTACAGAGCTGGCGACGCTCGCATGCCTATCTTGCTTTTGAGCGCCCGATAGATAGATAGATAGATAGATAGATAGATAGATAGATAGATAGATAGATAGATAGATAGATAATGAGTGGTACCACGCTTTGGATCGCAGTTTGATGCGGTACGGAACCGCTTGCCGTGTCGTGAGCACAGGTTCAAAGTGCGGCATGGTCCTACAGGCACGTGGGTGTGTGGCATGTTCGTGGCTCAAACAATGGCAACACGTGGGGTCGCGACGGCGAGTAGTGACGTCGCGTCGCCAAGCGCGGCGTCGATGGCAGCACATGACACGTCACGGACGTGAGCACGTTGCCGTGCAAATCAAACTCGTCTTGATCGTCCTTGGCTGGTGTCGGGTTCGGTGTTGGGCTTGGCGGCGGCGTTGGGAGTGCGGGCTCACGCAGCGGCTGGAGCACTTGGCGCAGGATCGGATCGCACTACAGGTAGTAGTACTACATACGCTGTGCAAGAGACGCAAGAAGTACTTGGATGACTGTCTGGAGCCAAAGGCGTTCTAGGAAGGCGTCGTGCATTTGTTGAACGAGCGATGTGCGTGGGGACACCTACGCGCTCCATGAGCCTCGGCCATGTCCGCGCGAGACGGACGAGATCGTTGGTGCTATCGCTTGCTTCGTCCGGTAGATGATGCTCATAGAGCGGTTCGTCGAGAAGACCATCGCTATGCGCATTCTCGTGGGTCCTGCTCGCTCGTGGCTACTACCTCGCAAACACTTCTTCGTCGTTACAGTCGAGGCCTTCGTTGGCGCTGAGGAGCATCGCGGTGCCAGCAACTTCCAAGCACACAGCTGCACCACACGCACCGTCGCATCAGGATAGCATCGCGGGACGAGACATGCAGTCACCTCGCGGCGGCAAATGCGTCTTCGTGGCAACGACCACGGGCGGTATGCACGCTGGCAGCTCCTCGGCGGCCAGCGGCGGATGCAGCATGCCTTGTTGTCCAGCATGAGCCGTGTCGACAATGGAAAGGACATGGCGTACCATGACCCGTGACGCGGAGGTAGGGCGCGCCTTCCGACCAGTGCCGGTAGCAGTCGTCGTCGGCGTTGGTCTAGGCCCGAGAAAGTGCATGAGCACAACGCATTTTTGTTTGCGGCATGGCGTACGAGGCAGGGCGTCGGATGGGCTGCGTCGCTCACCGCATGGATCTAGCAACAGCATACAGACGCGCTGTGGCACCAGAAGGAGCCGACCTTGTCGTTCGTCAGTTGCAGCAAGACAGCGATGCGCTTGGAGGCTTGGAGGTGGAAGGCCTCGAACGCGTCAAAGAGGTTGGCGCCGCCGTCGTCGTCGTCCACCTCGCCGTCGTCGGCTGCCTCATCCTCGTCGCCGTCGTCGTCGTCTTGATCTTCATCTACACGCAGCAGCGCCATGGGCGCCGATCCGGACGCATCGAGGACGCTACCGCCATGCGACCAGACGTCGGCCTCGTCGCTCATGCCCGATCTTCAAGGGACAGTCCACGTTGTAAAAGTGGCATTCGCGGGGTCGACCACGCGGCATATGCCACATTTAAGGACAACATCGTCATGCGTGTAGGCGCAAGTGTACACAAGGTACCCTTGGCAGGCGCTGGTACCAAGTACGGTAGCGACATGGCTCGTGGGCCGTAGCTGCGCTTCCTGAAGCGCTCCTATTGACTACTGAAGGAAATGTATTTTATTCCCTTGACCCACTTGGTAGCCGTCACCGCCATCGTGATGAAGTTATTTTTGAAATTTGTATGCAGACCAGCCTCTTTGCGTACCTTCAGAGGCCGCGCGCCCGGGCGGTGTGGTACCAATAGCTTCGTACTTGTAAGAATCATATCGCGATCCGCTTGCATCGGTCTCGGATCCGCTCCTTCGAGCATGTCGCTTCACGCCCGAACTCCTGCTCACGTAGACATGCCCACGTTGTGTAGCATGGCAATTGACATGGCAATTGGCAGTCGTTGAGCTCGGGGGTGGGAAGGCCCCGCTCGTCCTGGGAGTGCAATCGCGTTGGCCCTTGCGTAAACGCACTCCTGACGTCCTGTCTAGCAGGAACGGTTTTGCATCCGGATCCTTGCAACGGTCTTGGATCTTCTTCCACGATTCGGCGCTTCAACAGCCATGGACACGGGCACGCGTCGCCTCTCGTCGGCCGAGAGGGTGTTCCAGCTCATTAGCCACCGGTCGTCGATGCCGTCGCGCCTCAATGGCGCGGTCAAGGTGCTCACGGGGCCCGAGCGTGCGCGCCAGCTCTGGGCCAAGGTGCGCGACAACCTCAGCGTCTTCGTGACGCCCAAGCCCACGACGCGGTACCGGCGTGCTGCCGTGCCACCGCTCATGTTTGACCCCGAGTCGGACATCAAGGTCAAGTGGGACCTCGCGCTCGCATGCTGCGTCCTGTACACCACCGCGGTCGTGCCGTACAGAGTGAGCTTCTCGATTGACGCGACCGGCGTCTTCTTCGTGCTCGAGACAGCCATCGACTGCGCGTTCTTCATCGATATTGTGTGCTCGTTCCGCACCGGCATCGAGAACCCGAGCACGGGCCACGTGTACTACAACAAGCAGCACATTGCGCTCGCGTACCTCCGCGGTTGGTTCCTCATCGACTTTGTTTCGACCGTGCCCATCTCGACGGTCGCGCAGTGGCTGTACCCGAACCTCAACTCGAACGCACTCATGACCACGCGCATCTTTCGCGGCACGAAGCTCGTGCGGCTCCTCAAGCTCGCGCGCATCCGTAAAATCGGCGTCATGATGGCCAAGTGGGAGGAAGAGGTAGACTGTGTACTTTTATGACTTTGGAGGACACTGCGGGTAGGTGTTTGCCAACCAAAGCCTGCTCTCGCTGCTCAAGATTCTCTTTTTCGTCTTCTTCCTCGCGCACCTGGTGGCGTGCGTGTGGTTTTACGCCGCAACGACCTCGACGTCGATTTTCTATCCACGTATCAATTTTCGAATTGAAAGACAATATTGTAGGTATTCGTGGGCGTCAGCGGCGGGCTACATGGCCGACAACCACGCGCACAAGCAAAATTTACAGTACCTCGCGTCGCTGTACTGGGCCATTGTGACCATGGTATGTGGACGAAAAATGATCTGATTCATGGAGAAAAATATATATGCTATAACATGAATGGCTAGACGACCGTGGGCTACGGCGATATCGACCCTAAGACCAAGGTTGAGATTGTGATTGCGATGTTCGTCATGGTCATTGGCGTCGTCATGTTTGGTTACGTGATCGGCAACATCACGGCGCTCGTCGACAACCTCGATGCGAGCAGCCGCATGCAGTCGGAGCGCTTGACGTCCGTGAAGGAGTACATCATCGCACGCAGCATTCCCAAGCACATTGGTCCTTTTTATCCATATGAAAACGGTATTTCGACATGGTGTACACACGTAGGCAAGCGCATCCTCGACCACTTCGAGTACTTTTACCGCCACCGGTCCGTGTTTGACGAAGATGCGATTCTCAAGAACCTGCCGAGCGTCCTGCGGCACGAAGTGGTATCGTTTTTTCAGTCGACGACACGGTGTCGATGAAGACAATATTGTCCATACTAGGTGCATCACGTGCTGCGCAAATTCATCGCGCGCATCGACTTTCTCTCCGAGTTCCACGAAGGTCTCGTGAGTGACATGGCGGTCGCGATGCACCCGTTTTTCGTGATCAAAGACGAAGGCATTTACGCCCAGCATGAGATCGCCGCCCACGTGTTTTTTCTCATGAAAGGTACACAGACTAACCTTTTTATTACTACATATGACAATGGAAGTAGGCACGGCCGTGCTCGTCAAGGCGTACACGGGCCAAATGGGCGAGACGCAGCTCCTCCCGCTCTCGCCTGGCATGCACTTTGGTGAAATCGAGCTCTACCACCCGCGCTACGGCCGCGGCGTCCGCATCTGCTCGGCCATCTCCAAGACGTACTGCGAACTTACTTTCTTATCGCGCCAAGTCATCTCGCACATTGGTACGTTCTTGTCTAATAGACAAGTTGTCCACAGCTTGGGTGGTAGGGGAGACATGGCCCGAGGTCCTCGCGCACTTTGAGCGCACGGGCGGCCATAAAATTCGGTACATGGCCAAGCGGGGACCACTGGAAGAGTTCAACCTCGGCGTCAAGTCACCATCCACGAACGGACTCCGACACCGCCGGGTTTCCACCTCCATGGTAACTGTAACGCGTGTATACGACCATGCGCACCAGTTGGACGTGTAGCGCGTGCTGCCGCTAGCGCGCAAAGCTGGCATGTACCCACTCGCCAGAGTGCAAACGGGCGGGCGACGAGCGAGCCTTGACGTCAAGGACGTGCCGTCGACGGAGGACCTGGGATCCTACGACCTCTCCTCGTCGTCAGAAGATGACGACGTCGTGGCCGTCTCGAGCTCCACCCAGCTCGACACTGCCGTGCTGCGCGTCCAGCCACTCGTTCGACCCGTCCTCAACGAGCGCAAGGTATGCGGTACCCTACCCCTTGTGTTGACGAGAGTGGTAGATGGCGCACCAGCACTGGGTGTTCCATCCACAAGACCTCTTCCTTGTCAACTGGCAGCTCTCGGTGGCCACGGCCATCATGTACTCTACCATCATGGTCCCGTACCGGATTGGGTATGCGACTATGTTGTGCATATTTAAGGTAAAAACGCGTTGGATAGGTTTAACGCGGACCCCTCCGGCTCGGAGCTGATATTTGACCTCTTTGTGGACGCGCTCTTTTTTGTCGACATTGGCATTTCATTTCGGACGGCGTACTACACGATCGAGCGCCAACTCGTTGTGAATGGCAATACTATCATGTACGCCTACCTCCGCGGCTGGTTCCTCGTCGACTTGGTTTCGACCGTGCCCATCGACACGATCGGCAGGTCCCGTCTTCGATCCTTGCGTCTCGCATCCGATAATTTTGCATTGTAGCTATTTCATCACGGCGCGCAACTCGAGCCAAGTGCTTGCGTCGACCAAAATCCTGCGCGTCTTTCGCATCGCGCGCATCTTCAAGCTCATTCGGCTTCTCAAGATCGGCAAGGTGTTTAAACGCATCCGCGACTCGATCCAGGTGCGTTTAACGGTAAAAACGTGCGTCGAACGCATCCACGTAGCTGAGCCCGTCGACGGAGCGCCTTGCGAAGCTCGTCTTGATCATGGTTCTTTTTGGGCACTGGAACGGGTGCATGTTCCACTTTATCATGCTCCAAGAGGAAGATCTCGGGTCTCAAAATTGCACTCTTGACCTTTTCCCACCCGTTTTTGCTAGACTGCGCACGTGGTGCACGGAATATTTTTTCCCCCAAGACGAAGAGCCCGGCTTGTGCTCGAACCGTGTCTCGATTGTGGACCGGTACCTCGCGTCCATCTACTGGGCGTTTACAACCATGGCCACCGTGGGGTATTATGATAGCCTACATTTTACCCCACAAAAATGACTCCATGTCCACTGTAGGTATGGTGATATTCGCCCCTATCGGTTCTCGGTCGCCGAAATCCTCTTTACCATTATTTGTCTGCTTGTCAACTCGACCGTCTTTGCCTACGTGGTGAGCGGCATCATCGAAGTCATCTACAACTACGACCCGAGCGCGCGCGAGTACAGCTCCCGTCTCAATGCTATGAAGGTACCTGTTGATGGTCGATTTTTTTGTCCATAAAAAAACATCCGTAGGACTATGTTCGGGACGCATCCATGTCGGTGCGCTTGAGTACAAATGTCAAGCGGCACTACGACTACCTGCTCTCGACCGTGTGTCTCTTTCCCGAAGAAAAAGTTGTGTGTTTTAATCCGCTTGGATTCTCACCCGTGACTAGATCTTTGGGCAGCTACGCCCCAGCCTCCGGTTTGACGTCGCCCGCCTCGTCTCGTCCAGCTCCATCATGACGATTGGCATCATTGCCAGTATGGAAAAGCGCTACAAAGGTCCAATTTGTAAACGAATTTTCCTGATCGAAGAGGACTAGGGTTTGTGAGCTACGCCATGTTCCTCCTCAAGCCGCAGTTCGTGCTTCGAAGCGAGCGCGTCTGTCATAGCGGCAGCCCTGGCACCGAAATGTATTTTATTCTGGACGGCGAGTGCGAGCAGCTCGACAAGGACAACCGTAACGCGCGAGTTCTCGGGTACACATTTCTTACTCTTTTCCTCTTTTTACAATTTTTTGATATTTTAAAATGACAGCGAGAGCGCGGTCGTCGAAGCCTACGCGCTCTTGGCCCACCCCGACGAGCACTACCGCACGGAATCGACGCTTACGGTGCTCACCAAGTCGTGCCAGCTCTACGCATTTGCCGTCCAAGATTTTCGGTAACGTTTCGAATCGACAAATATCAAAATGGCGCGACAACGGTTAGGACGATTGCTGCGATCTCACCGGCCATTTCCTCCAACTTGTCGTACGAACTGGCGCGAAGCATCATCCGAGACGATTTCCTGCGCCTCTCGGAGGTGCAGGAGCGCACGGTCGCGGCCGCGATCGAGCATGAAAAGGCGCACAACCCAGATGCGACCCATCATTTGGGCAATTTGGCTCAAGTTGTTCTCTCTTCCATTAAAGTCGCCCACGGCGATCCATTGACGCTCAATATGAAAGAAGCTGTGCACAAGCTGGTGGCCAATTCGACGACCCATCACGACACCACCAGTACACCCCTTCAATCCATGTAGCGCCTCTGTATTTCCCTGCTAAAAACACTGACATGTGGTTGTTCGATGTACTATTACGCAATCTTGACCACCGTAGCCCGCCACGCTCTTCGCACATAGAAATGTTGCTTGTACAATCTCTCCTGCAAAATGTTAGTCGACCAGTGGCACCGCGGCCTGTAGGGCGTCTGGAAGGTCAACCGATGTGTTCATCGGTAGGGCGTACGCCCGCCACGTCTTGATGTCGAGCGTGATCATCGCCGAGCGTAGCTGCAGCGTCAAGAGCCCGACGAGTGCCGCCGACGCGCGGTCCAGATGATAGACATTATTCTGTACAACCCAAGACGATGTACAAAATTGATACTTTGCGCCAGACGTGAGAAAGAGCGATGCAACTGCGCTCGTGGGTGCTGGGCGGACACACAACTTGACCATGATGTAGCACACGCCATGCGAGATTACGACCGAGACCACAAGCAAAAGGAGACGATCGAGACGTCCGATCTCAATCGTACCTGCGTCACAGACAGCCATCGCATCGATTTGCTCGAGATAGCACTTGAGATGGATCGACGTGCGAGGTGTCACGGGCTCCAGAAGCGTCAACGCCGCCGTAATCAGATAGACCAAAAACCCATTCAAGGTCACATAGTAGGCTGCATAGTCGCCAGTCACAACAAGCAAAATATCGTTGACGATTGTAATCAGCCACGTGACCTCGTTCGCGGCCAGCAGCGTCTTGTACCACGGATCGCGCACGAAGACAAATGAGCTAATGTAGCCAGAGTACTGCAGCTCGAGCGTCGCTGTTGAGAGCACGCAAAGGGCCGTCATGCTCCGTAGAAGCAGGAACGGTCGACCAACCCAGACAATGCCGCCGACACGACCGAGCTCGAGCATGTTCCAGCCCTCAAAGCGACTGCGACCTGCCACGATGTAGAGAGCCGTGAGGCTAGCCACCGCCATCATGACACCGGTGACGTACATGACTCCGGCACGGAAGTAGCGGGCTATGTTCGCGGGTACTTCCCACGCCGGTGCCGGCTTGGAGAGCGGCACCTCCATGCCCGTGATGAGGGTGAGCGTACCGATATCGCCCTGAAACGAGACGACTTCACGGAGACCGACGACCCAGTCGTAGAGGAAAAGCCATGCAAAAAACTCAAAGTTGGCTTCGGAACGGTCCAAAAGGTTGATGGTCCGCAGGGTCAAGGTCGTTGCCGTCGACCTGTCGCCCGCAAATGTCATGAAAGAGATGTTGAGGAATCGAATATGGTCGTTCACGGCGGCGACGTCATTCGAAAGGGTGTGCGGTAGCTGCATGTAGTCGTGGATATACGTGTGCGACGCCTTCAAGTAAACCAGACACGCCGGAACAAAGGAAGGGTCGAGTCGGCACACGCGATCATGATGTTCATACTGCACGTTGGAGAGAATCGCGCCAACAATGTACTGTTGCCGTGTGGGCTGCAGCCGCGCTGACAGGCCCGCAGCCGCAATGCAGGTTGTGTCGTATACCAGAATGTTATTCAGGCCGTTCGCTACGGACTGGCCCGATGTGAGCCCTGGACACAGTGGCGAGCTCCCAAACACATAGAAAGAGGACGTCAGCCACGCGCTCGGCACCGGGTACGAGGCATCGAGTGGCACGATGCTGTGAAAGGCCGCTTGCGCTGCGACATTCCCGACGAGCGGCGCACGAAGAAGCTCCACGAACGACGAGAGCAGCTGCTGCAAGGACGGTGGCGGCGAGATGTACACCATGTCGATGGATCCAAACGGCCCCAGGACGGAGGCGGTTAGTTCATAGCCTTCGGGCAGTGGCGAGGGTAGGGTTCCGTTGGCCATGTAGACGGCGGAGAGAGTCGTGTTGGCAAAAGCGTGCTTTGCACTCGATCGAAGAAGACTTGAACCAGCAATGCATGACGCGTTGGAGATCACCGCCGAGAGGTCATTCGCTAAGGCCCAGTACATTTTGAACGTGGATTGACTGCCGAAGCGATACGTAGAGAGCTGAGACGATAGCCCGAGGGAATAGACGACGCCATACGCGTTGGTGATCGAGTACTGGTTGCGTACACCGAGGCGCTTGTAGTTTTGCCACTGCGTGCCACTGCGTATCAAACGTCACCAACCCGTGGTGAAGCCAGTACGCTGCTTCGTCACTAACCCGGCGACGTGGTCGTGGCGAGCCAGGCTGCACCCGCCGCCGACAGCCGCAGCTCGGATGCGATCGTAATATCAAACGCGGTGCTCCAGCACGCGAGAAACGCATCAAAATCAATGTTGCGAAGCACCGTCTCCAGAAAGGCAGCACCGTTCGATGTCATGCTTGAACACCGCGCTTGGCGCTTGGCCGTGTTGGCCATCTCCCAGCGCCTGGCCATGTCTACGTAGCAGTACGGCGAGAAGATCCATGGCGCGTCGCAGCCGCTCGACCGACGCAGACCTTGAATCGTCGCCTCGATGGTGTGGAGAAGGGTGTGCTGGAGGTACGCGCCGTAGTTGGCAGGCGACGTCACGACCGCCGACGGCGACGCAAACGATGCCATCAAGTTGATACTTGGTCGGTCGAGTGCTAGAGAGAGCATGGTCGTATTGCCCAGGACGAGCTGCTCGTTGAGCCAGTTGGCGAAAAATGCGTGGGCCCCCGTCGTGTTGAAGGTCGCCCAGAAGACGTCGTTGGCAAGGTTGACCCGCGACACGGTGAGGTACGAGATGGAGCCAACGATGGACGAAGCGACGTAGCAAAGACCGAGCATCCGAACAGCGTGGACCCAACGGCTCGACGCTATGGAAGGCACATGGTGTGAGGCGAGAGCAGGTCCATTCTTGTGTTTGGTGGAAGTGGCAAAGACAGGGCGAGGCAACACAGCAAGATGCGACGTTGTGGAGAGCTCGTCTCGGACCAAGCGCCAGAGCTTGACGTCAAAGATGTATGGTTTGCCTCCGAACCGCAACGGCAGGAGGCCCGCGAGGACGCAGCTTACGTGGTCGACGGACACTCGGGTCGACGATGACTCGGTCCTCAAAAAGACATGCGAGACGCTGCTCAATAAGAGTGGTGCCTCGATCGTGGCGCGATGGTTGACTTCCCTGGCGGCGCGCAGCAAGCTCCAGCTCAGCGAGACGACGATGCCAGCGGCTTGGATTCCACCGATGGCCGCCATACGAGTGAGACTGCCGACCGACACGACGCCACTCGTGCACGCCACGCCATAGTCCATGTCGACACCGACACACTCTCTTTGGAGCGTCCCTGTCACTTGTACAGGGTCACTGACCTCGAGAAGAAACATAAGGAGCCACGAGACCAAACTTCCAAAAGTACTGCACGGCGCGGTAGACTGACGCGTCACCAGCACCAAGATGTCACTCACCATATACGTCAACCACGTGGCCTCGCCCGTGACAACCGCCGTCGCTAGCCAACTCCTTGGACTCGCAACAAACCGAGAGACTCCATCCGATGACGTTGCGAGAGAGAGATTGGCCGAGCTCAGCAACAACATGGCTGACGCACCTCGCAGAAAGGCCAGTGGTCGGCCGAGCCAGACAGCGCTCACGATCCGGTTGAAGAAGAAGAGGTTGACCCCGTTGAACCGACAGCGCGTCTTGATGGCGTACACCACAGTGAGACCGCCGACGCCGACGAGAATCACCGAGGTGGCGACCACGAGGTAGTAGAGAATCTGCGTCGCAGTCTGGAGCGGCTGCGTCCCTGTTGTGTACAGCTGAGGCGTATAGAGGTTCGAGATGAGTGTGAGAGCGCCGACGTCGCCTTGGAACGAGATAACTTCGCGACGGCCGAGGGCCCAGTCGACAAGGAAGAGCCAACCAAAGAGAGAAAACGATGGCTCGAGGAGTGGCTGGCGCAGGACGACCCACGAACCATTGGCGGCGATTGCATATTGCATCAAGCCGACGTCCGTAGTCATGGTGCTAGAAACCGTTGACGCCAGAGCATCCAGTGGAATGTGGAGCGGAGTGACGGCGTCGAGGGCAGCTTCACACACTGACGCGGGGGACGCAGCTCGACAGACATCACGAATGCTCATGTTGGTGGTGGCAGCACGCGCAAGAAGCAGTGCCACTGGGTCGAACGTGATTGTGAGTGGCTCGGGCCTCGTGCAATCATCGAAAAAATCAAACGGCTGCTGTGGATACGAGGTGCTTGGAAGTGCCGTACACATGAGATTGCCTCCGTAATAGCTCGCATAGTTGCGCCAAGCGAGTGGCGTGAGCGCTAGAGACGCTGGTGGCAGAGTCCCGAGGCGTGGCTGGGACGCATGTAGAGTGCCAACTAGAGCTTGGAGGGTGCTGGGGGCTTGGATGAAAAGGCAGTCGACGCTCTGGAACGGACCAATGACTCTGCGAAAGATTTCCAATTGATTTTCGAATTGCCCCGACACGGATGTCACTCCTTCCAGCACCTCGATATCAATGGCCGGCATGTCCGCAGATGCGTTGGCCCCAAAGAAGCGCGAGGAGCCTCGGACCAGGCTTCGGTTGACAAACTGAGGCGACCAAAGGCTATTGAGCGGCAGCCAAAACAGAGCCGACGACGTCCATGGACCGGCCTGTTGTGGTAGGTTCTTGAGCGACAACACTTGCTGCATGCCAATGGCGTTCTCCAAAACGATGGTTTCGTGGATGCTCGACTGCCACCGATTGTGCCATTGCAGCTGAAACGATACCAAGCCAAAGGTTTGCCAGTACTTGAGCTCGTCGTCGCACGTCGTTGTGTCCCGCGCGATTGACACTGCCTTCAAAAAGGCCCGGCCGTGTGAGGACTCTTCAAGAGCGAGTTGCACGGCCACCGTAAACGGCCCGTTTTCGCCGCCCCAAATCGTCATGTAGTCGGCCCAGACCACGTTGCGCAAGATCGCTTCCATGTAGACTGCCGCATTCGATGCATAGCGCTCGCGGCACCGTTGCTGCCGCGCCTCTGTCAGCGCGACCTCAAACGACTGGCCAAAGTCGATCCAGCAGTGCTGCACGTTCATTCGCATCGACCATGACGCGCTGAGTGTCCGTAGTTGACGCACGGCGTACTCGATCGACGTGAGCTCAGAGAAGAGAATCGTTCGCGCATAGGTCGGGAGTACGTTGGTCGTTGCACGCGTCAAGTTGTACGTCTTGGGGCTCGTGGCGTTGGCGCCATAGAGATGGAGGGCTCCAGTGCCAGCGGTGGCTAGCCGCGCGTTGATCACGTCGATGAGGAGGGCCTCGCAGCCCGTCGGTGTAAAGCCCGCCCACCAGAGGTCGTTGGCGAGACTGGGTGCGAGCAACCAGAGGTACCAGACACCGAAGCTGAGCGACACGGCAAGGTAGACGAGACCGGCAACGACTCGACCGCGCTGTCGGCGAGGATCGTGTGTGACGGGGATATACTCCGTGGACGGTGCAACTTGATGGCGGGCATGGGTTCGAGACCGCAGCTGGTGGCAGTCAAAACGACGGTCGGGCAGTTTCGCTACTACAGTAGTACTAGTACTGCAGGACGACTTGGATCCGGTTGAAGTCTGCGGTCCCGATGGCAAACTTGACATTGCCGTGACGTATTTAACAGTTAGTAGAACTGCACTTGGTTCTTCGGCGTTCTACCCTCTCAGATCCCTCTGTCACATTGTCGCTCCTTATTAGTGGCGACGAAGGAAGGGTCTCCATGAGTCGAAGTCACGCCAATCCAGAGCCTTCTGAGCCAACAGTATTAACCTTCTACACATAGCGAGACGATGTCGGCAGCAGCGAGGTAAGTATACCCAAAGCAAGTGTCCATCTCTTTCTATGGACCCGTTCATAAAGTATCTCGCGCCGTCGTGGCTCGTCTCAGAGTTGCAGCGTGTTGCAGTCTGCAACGCGCCCCATTTCGAAGCCGAGTGTGGTATCGTTGACGCCCATCCAATATTGTCCTTATTTAGTTTAATAATAGTAGACGCTATTAAACTAACACTAGTACGCATATGCACCGCTAGCAATCTGGTAGCACGAGGCGTTGAAAAGAGGTGGATAGCGCCGTGGGCTCGCAGAGAAGCGAGTTCTTGATGACGAGGAAGACAGGACGGAGCCAACGCCGAGACGCGCGACACCACGTGGGCCTTCCCGCTTACAGTACCACGGCAGCCGTCTCGATCGTTTTAAGCTGCCCCAACAAACCACGGAGACAGACCAAGGGCAGGAGCTGGACCAATGGCATATCTTGGTGGCACTAGGCCACTATCACCACTACTAGACAATGCCATTGGCCCCAGACCAAACAAAGCGAACGCATATCCGCTGTCCCACGCAAGAATGTGCTTTTCTGGGGCAGACACGATCCTGATATGTACCCGCATTCGGCCCTCGAGACCGTCGTCTTTTTAGCACTGCATCTCTACGATCACTGTAGCATCGTACGTGACAGTTGTAGCAGAACCTCTCGACCTCTAGAACCGGCACCGAGGCAGGAACGACGGCGACACACTCGATGTGCTTTCGGCTGTCCATGGCTGTAGAGGGTGTAATGTGTGCCATCAGCCTCACGCGAAGCATAGCCCCTTCCGCATGCACCCATTTTATCGAATGCGGCTTCGAAAATAAGTTAGGCCCCGACCAGGTCCCTGTGAAAATAATTTAGGCTCCAGCCCATTCCCTGTGAAAAACACGTTTCTACTATCGGAATGAAAAGGTAGGACCTAGGAGGTGGGGCCCAAACAAAAGAGTAGAACCGCCTGTCTGGTCTAAAATCGGGTGCCGCCACCAGTCGCTGTCTCTCCGCGGGTCGTTGAACCACTTCACGTCTCGCCGGCCGCCAACGCATGGGCCAATGCTACGCCACGTCCTCAGCCGCGATTCACCACCTCCTCTGCTGCTCCGCGCCGCCCCGCCACGAGATGCCCAACGACGTCGTCGCGGCCAGTAGTAGCGTGCTCACGAACCGCGACCTCTGGCGCAGCATCACGGCCTTCCAGCCGGGCACCCGCTTCCTCATCAAGCGCCTTGTGCGGCAATGGCGCGGCCAGCGCGAGCCCGCTGCCCGCGCACGGCTCATCTTGGATGCGATCGCAGACCCGGTCTCTCGCATGCTCTTTCTGCGCGAGCTGTACACATCGTCGACACGGTACTTTTCACGCACGTTCATGAACCTTTCCGCAAGCTACGGGTACCACGACGTGCTCGTCTTCCTCCACGAGCACCGCAAGAACGGGTGCACGACGGACGCGATGGACCTCGCCGCCGCCAACGGCCACGTCGCGATCGTTGCGTTCTTGCACCAGCACCGCAATGAAGGCTGCACGACGCGCGCCATGGACGTCGCGGCCGCCAACGGTCACCTCGACGTCGTCCGGTTTCTACATCTCTTCCGCAAGGAAGGCTGCACCACACAGGCGATGGACTTGGCGGCAGCGAACGGCCACTTGGACATTGTCCGGTTTCTCCATGCCAACCGCACCGAAGGCCCGACGATGCACAATGCGTCATGGGACACGATCGAGCGGATGCGCAGCTGGCGCTACTGCCAATGGACGGCCATGTACGGCTACTGGAAGGTGCAAGGCCGGCGCACGAGCGTATACCGGCGAACATGCAGCAGCAGCCTCGTGACACTGGCCTGCGACCTCGACGACCTCGACGACGACCCGCTCACGTCCACGCGGGCGTGCTCGCTCGAGATGCACCTGGTCGACACGAGCGCTGTGGGTGGTTGTACCTCATTTGCCATGGACTGGGCCATCGCGAATGGCCACGCCGACGTCGTCGCGTTCCTTGCCGACGCGCGGCAGCTGCGATGCACACGCGAAATGCACCGCTTGGCCCTTGCACGTGGCCACGACGCAGTCGCTACCTGCATTGCCCCGCTGCTGGTCGCGTGAGCCGTATTATTTATTCCGTCATAATCTTAAAACTAAACTAACTACGCTACTATGCGATCTAGTAGTACGACGCCCGCGTCGTCTCGAGCTCGTGCTGGATCGTGACGGCACTCGGTCGATCCAGCGGGTTGGGTGACAAGCAGCGCGTCGCGAGCGACTGCACCCACGACGGACACGCCGGCGTAAACACGGGCGCCACGTCGCCGTCCATGATGCGCTGCATGAGCCGCTTGTCTTCCTCGGCCTGATCATGCGTTGTCGTCGCCTTGTCCTCGTCGTCGTCCTCGTCCTCATCATTCACGTCGTCATGCCAATGCCCGTACGGCACGTCGTGCGTATCGAGCTCCGAGAGCAGGAGGCCG